AAAAGAAAGGACCATGGATCAGCGCTGCAGGTGGGTTCGTGTCGGCAGAACGATAAGACATAGCCGCTGATGATGTGAGGCCCAACCGATCAGCCAACCACATGTGTTACGCAGCTAGGATTAAGCATAGTGAACGGCGAACCGTGTAATTGAAATTCAATGCACGAACCCTGGATTAATTTTGTCCTGAATAGTCAAAAACTGTTTCTTTCAGTAACGTTTGGAGTGATATTACATTTTTTTCACGGTTTCAAATAAGATAGGTCGCATCTCCTTTACCTCCTAGGGTTCAACGTGCAGATTAAGAAGGGAGCATGAACTATGGGGGTGACTTTGTGTGGCTCATAAAGCCGATTACCATTTCTGCCGCCAATGTATTAGAAGGTACTCACCCCATATAGAACCAAGGCCTTCCAGTCGCACTAAAGGCCACTAGGTTCGTCCTGCGAATGCTGACACGTGTCCAGGATGGAGGCCAGATTGCGCGGCGCAGCAGTTTTTCCAACAAATATTGCCGCTTCCTGACGTCCCCGCGCCCCGACGGCCAAACCCAGGCCCCTGACACGTGCGAGGCAGCATTCGCAACGAACAGGACCAGTTTATGATATATGATTTATCTATCCGGCTTACGTAAAATCAATCCAACATCAACATGAGTCCATTCTTGCAACGATGAACGATATAACGGTAGATAAAACTAAACAGTATATAAAAAGGCGTGAAAGGGACACGAGTGAGGAGTGGTGGATACACTTAAGTGGTTGAAGACCCGAATAGGAGCCCGACCATCGAATTCAGTGGGGTAAGCTCAATATGAAGTAAACATGATAGAAATGAGAATGAAGTAAAAACCGAAAGGAAGAATTAACCAGAAGCCAGGCAGCACGGGACGAATACTCCGTCACTACTCCTTTTCCTGGATGAGAACTCTCTACGAATGGGATCGTTCAGCAAGAGTAAGTCGATGTTACAATTAGCACCAGGCCCAATACGTCATTGCAAACGCTCGACATGTTTGGATGTTCATCATGCCGATAATTTTGGAGTTTAGACCGCTGAAATATATTTTTAAATGAAGAGAACGGCACTGATACCAGCATCGATTACGATTCATCCCAGTTTCGATCAGTGCGTGAATCTCAGTTCCATGAGACTAATGTGGGGAGCTCTCACACGTGGCCTACTTGAAGGCATAGCTTGCTTTTCCTCCACAATCTAGCCCGCTGCCGACGAAGGGGGCGTGGCAGTCGAGCTCGGTTGGCGTCGCAGAGCGCCAGCTCAGCGACCAGTTTGCGGTATCAGCGACAGAGCTTGATGGGTGAAACGAACGATATGACGCAGTCTTGTTGCTTGCAGAAATGAACTTGACGGTAGTTCCTGCAGCTGAATAGCTCAGTCCGTAGTCGCAAGTGTTGTCCTTCTTTTCTGGATTGATGAAGGATCATAATGTCCACAGCACCTTCGTCAACTGACAATCCTCCGCTGGTGACAGCCGAAGAAATGCTTGCCATCTGGGCCACGACATGCCAACATCCTACAATTAACAAGCAGTCGTGGAGCCACGTCGTCATGTTCCGTATGGGATCATGTCTGTCACTTCGCTCGTCCTTCGTACTAGCTTCACATTGTCTCTGCTCCTTGAGCAACGCTAGGACAGCCGCGCTCTTCGTTACCGTTCTTCTCTCCCAGGGTGGACTGGATTGTATGAGTCTTGATCTATATCGCATCTTTTTTACTGGTTCCTCGACGGGTAACCACAAATAATATAACACTTACTATGAACTGCAGTAATCTCACGAATTGCGAAGGCAGGCAATGAGTGCCTTCAAACTCAAGAATTCAATTGAACGATGGTTCTCTTCAACAAAGGGAATCGCGGAAGAAAGTCGATCGAGATCATATGGAACAACATCAGACACTACGGTTCGCGTGATCGTCCAGATCAGTAATAGCGCAGTCGCTAAGAGAAGGCCATAATCCTGAACGCAGCAAAGAGTGGCCGAATAGAATAGATAAGGTTACCTTGCCACCTCTCATCTCTGTCCCTTGCCCTTAATGATCGCAACGACTCACCGTAGAACTCCAGTTTGGGCGATTTATGAACCCTGGATAGCGAATTCGTACCGGACATGAGACAACTAGCGAACAGTTTGCGACACTGGTATAAGTACGGTATAGAGCTCCAGTTCTACAGAAATCACCAGTTGATATGAGCAAAGATAGATATACGAGTAAAAAGCCCTGGTAGGGTTTCCAAAGGGCACCCTTCATGTGAGTGTATACGTGAGTAGGTCAGTGAGTTGACGCCGTTAAGACGTGATGCTGTTGAGTAAGCCCACTTATGGAAGTGAGTCAAACGCAGCCAGTCCTGATTTATGGACTAATGTTTGCCAACACCTTGCCGACGTTTGATCAAATAGCGTTTCCCTAACCTGAAGGTTCCTTTGGTTGCTAAAATCACAGGAAACACCACTGATCCCGCAGAAATTTTTCTACCTTTCTATTATTCATCACCGGCACATGGTTTCAGGGCCTTCTTGACTAAAGAAGTCTGAAGGCTGAGGTCGCTACACCCACCAAAAGACGCATGCAGGTCACATATGATAAGATAAGACAGACATGTCATTGCAGGATAAGTGGGCCGAAGGGGAGGGGGTGGGGGAGGGGTAGATAAGTATTTAATTGAGTTCGAGTAAAGGAATAGAGAGCACTGAATGGTAGTATGAAGGCTTCACTTAATTCCGACCACATCAGGACTATCCGAAGGCACTATCTTCTTATGTATGGTTACGATGACTTAGTGACGGGACCAATCTAACCGTGTGAATCGAAAATTACGGAATCCCGCGCGAGGCAATGCGAACCTCTGACAGTGCTCTGCTGCTTACAATGAACTTGATTAGTTGCCAGGACCCCTCTATTCTTACCTTGTGAACTGATATTTTTTCGATTTACACGCCCTATGGGCAGGGCCGTCAGTTTGGTAAAAGGTAAACAAGCAAGAGATTGCTGATGGCTGAATGTTTTTGGCTCTAACGTTCGCGAGTAACGAACACTGGAGATCAACACTGGCGACATCGCTGGCACGGCCAGCATGCCTAACGCGCTCTCATGTATTCACCCCCTAGAAGTGCCCATTATACTCTACAGTTCGCCCCTATAACAATGTTCCGGAGTGGCGAAATAGGTGCTCCTCTACAGCTGTGGACGTGCTCATTCGCTCATAGAAAGATTCCCTTACACTCAGCCCAACCTAAGCCCTGAAGATCGTTCCGATGATCCTGGAAATGGATGAATTCCTTACTCTGTTTGTTGTATTGATTCTCTATGTAAGAAAAATTAAGTCTTTGATCTTCATCATAGTAGTCTTCGCTAGTAATAAATGCAGGAGGGGAGCAAAGAAGACCATTAGGCCGAGTCACATATCGGTAAAGAATACGCAGCCTAGAGAGACGTGGATACGAGCACCAGGGTGGAAGATACATAATGTTCCTCGATAACAGGCGAGCAGGCCTTTTGCCCTGCATCTGCATGATGAAAGCCTTATGGAATTCACGGTCCCCTATCGCAAATGACTGCCGAAACTTCTAGATTGGAGTCACCCATGGCGCCGGCTACTGGGACCTGCACTCTTGATCTGGAAGACCTCCACATCTCCAAGCAGCTCCCGGCAACGTCGCTACGGTCCAGGATATCATCTTCACCGCAGTCGCCAAGTTGGGAGTTGATGGTATGGACCGGAAGTTCCTGGAATGTGAAGACCGATATTTTCTTCGGAGACCCCGGACTGAAAGTGAGCGCTGACGGTTACATCGATCAACTCGCAGAGAATATCCTGCCTTCATGTCGTCGCCCGTACCATCTTAGACACTTCGTACTGCTACAGGATTGGGTGCCACCGCATGGAATCGAAGGGCCTTCGAAAAACCCTCGCCTACTCGGAATAGAAGGGCGTTGAGTACTTCAAGAAGACGGAATATCCAAGTGTGTTACTTGTGTCAAACCCCCTCGATTACTGGGTCGCGAGGTGCTCAACAGGATGGCTTAGAGTGGCGGAGATACCAACAACCCCGCTGCACTCAGGCACCGGTTCACGGTCGCGTGGCAGAATCTCTCGATGGCGCTCGTCCAGAAGGCTGTGGCGGAGTCGTGCACAATAGTGGGGCCGCCCCCTTCCTTTTCCAGGTGTTTCTTTCTTCTCTGCTACGCAGATGAGAACGTACAGGGGAGGGTCCCGTGCCGAAGACCCGTTTTCAGAGGAGGCGAGAGTCGTATTTGGCAGTGAATATTATCGCAAAACGATTGACGTGCCCTGCTAAGCAGCAGCCGCGACTGGATGCGACGGTATTCAATGTGTCTATCACCTGCTGCAGCGTGCAACACGCAGACAAACATATGGGCAGAGCATGTAATCACAGGAACGCTTACCACGTACCGCATTGGTGGTTCTTAGTTATGAATTAAGGCAAGTGGCTATTTGACTTCTGTACGCTGCGCAAGCCCGCTAAGACACTGCTTATGGATTACGGTAGTCTGTTAGTGTGGCTCCCGTGAAAATGCGTACGGCCGCTTAGGCTGGATTTGAAATATTTTACATTTAGATTGTTCCTCGAGTAGGACTAGTTATGAGTTTTCCAGCTCAACTGATATTATTTCGACGACCAGAAAACTGAAAATTAGCTATTTTTTGTATTAACCAGCCACAGCAATAATCGCTAGGGGTGTTCACAATCAAACATGTGTTTCTACTCCATGGATTATCTTGTTATGTTCTCTCCACTCATTTCTTTTGATTTTAACAATGAATTTGTGATGGAGAGTGGGTTGGTTCTTGGCCCTTCCCTTCCCAAGGCGCTAAATCATAGCAGAGTCCACTCCACCAGAATCAGCAAGGAGTAGTTAACCGAATTGCTCGAACTAATGGAACTGGCTTGCTACCCCTGATTTTTTCATCAGTGGCCGATTGATTTAAATTCATTCTTTCAGGCCGAATACGAGTAATGCTAAGTAAGAAGTTAGCGTTGGTTCGAAAGTCGTTAACCCATTGTGGAAATAGGGAACGAAGACGTTCCGATCTCCAGAGTTTGGGAATGAGTTCAGGACTCAAGAATGGTGTTGCTAAAGAAGCCAATATAGAATCGTCTTGTATGAAGATAATTCACAGAGGTGAGCGTCGAGCTGGCGAGGTTTCTTTCTTTGAAAGCACTCATAAAGAATCTTTGTATTTGTTTCACAACTAGCCGACGTACTCAGTCAAAACGCCGAACGCGCTTCCGCACCTTGACGCAAAGTATGAACGCCGCCTAACGCTCATAGTTCGTGACACCGGCAATTGAAATTGTGTTCATATCAAGTTCCTCCAGAGAACGGGGGCATCATTCTCTTACAGAACGTTTCTCTGAACCGTCCCTCCACTATGTTAGGGCTTACTGTTCACGTTACACTTAGCAATACTGTTAAAATGAGTGCTTAATTCGGGGTGTTATTGAATTAAGTGCTTAAGCGATGGAGCAGCGTCATTGTAGCGTCTGAGGCGTTAGATTCGCGAAAAGTAGAAGCTTCCTTGGGGACATTTTGGACAAGGTTCTGAGGGAGGGGGTGTGGGGGTGATAGCTCAAAACATCTATTGATCGGCCCCTCTCTGATTTGTTGGAATAGGTCGAATTTTGTTTGTGAGTTATTGTAGACACTCATTCTATCAGTATACTTAGCGCTAACACAAGAACGCTTGATTGACATTAAAAAATTTTTATCTAAATGCAGGAGGAAACTGAGAACCAATTTTGGATAATTTTGAGTGCTTTTCTCATTGCTAATTCTCATTTTTTTTCCTCTTTTCAGGAAAAACTATCACTGGTGAGGACAATCTCTCTTTGCTAGATATGAACTTCAAAGATAATGACAAAATATTGATCATGGGAAAGGTATCATCGTCAATGAAGGTATGTGTTGTTTTCTGCTATGTATTCACGAAAATTAAGAATTTATACCCATGGCTGCGTAGTCTACGCCTCTGCGTTCTCTGTTTAGCGCACTGCCATTTTTGATCGTACCGTTGCGACGGTGCGCCATTTGCCCTCTGGTTGGGATCGCGCTACCGCGAAGTATGAACGCGATCTAAAAGGCGCAGTTCGGCGACAGTGGTTTCGCATGAGTTCACAAGTTTTACCAAAAAGAGACGTGTAAACCGGCACTAATAAAGCACCGGAAGTGCAAAATGTCTCTCTCCCTTCCTCCCGTCACTGAACTGCGCCCGCTAAGGCCTCGTTTCTACGCAATGCTGTCGAAGAATCTGCGATTGGAAGAATCAAGAAACGCGATCAGTTAAATCACGATCCTTCTTCACAAAACGCTCCTCAAAACGCATAGAGGACAAACATACGTGAACGTATTCTATCTCGTCGTTTTTGTCGACTTTCCTCAATTTTTTCGCTGAACTCTTCAACGGCGTTTTATATGAACGCGAACAAACTATCTGGGTAATAGAGACGTACCTTTTAATGGTCCTGAATAGTCCGTGCTCGACTTCTTGCAATCTTGGCATGATGAGTGTCGTTGTCATAGACTGTCAACCCTCTACAAGACCGAATGGCTCTGTTGGGCCCATGTTTCGGCGTCTTCGCCCACGTCAGAGTCTGAAACGGGCAGGAATCCATTCGAGACCTATCCCACTCGATCCTTTCAGGACAATTTCACCAGCCCATTGAAGCTTTCAGCGGTATCAATCGAGAAAATGCGGCTCACCTCGACCTCAGCATCTGCCGTGGTGGGGACTACCCTGGGTTGTTTGGAACTTGGAGTGATCATCTCTACTTATTCACTTCAACCTGCAATAGATCAAAACTTGCAAAGGTTGAGAAAGGGCGAAACTAATGGGCCATGGACAGACATCTCTCCTTTCTATCCTTTTGTGGTACTTGGCAGTAATCCAAAACACCTCTGGCCGCCGCAATCGCGGGCTCTTGCGCTCACATGATCACCTACATGTCGATTGCCATGCCTCCATGATATTGAATACGCCCATCAACTTGTGATCTACTAATCTTCCCAGTTATTCCGTGGGCCGCACACGAAGAGGGCGACCCGTTACTTACTTACTGGCATACCTGTATCCTGTAGGTAGTTGGCGATTTCAAACAGTCCGGTGCGATAATCCTGTAGTTTTGAAGACCTTCTTGTTCAATCGGATTGCTTTAAACTTCTTCTGAACTTGCCATTTTTGCTTCAAAAATCTCTTCTGTATTTTGTTGTTGTCTCAGTAGTCTTTTCGCTTTTCTTTTTTGTACCCTAAAACAACTGTCGATTTCAGTAGTCGCTTTCGCTACGGCATGAATGGAGCTTGCGTTTATACGGCAGTTCAGCCCTCTTTTATTCCTGATTTTTCTTTCGCGCAAGCCGATAACACCACCAACATCTTCTATCATCATTTTCCTCCAGTTGTTATTATTTACTCTTTGCCAGCCACTGTGAGAACCTGTCTTTGGCATGCCAAACACCGCCCGCACTGACGCCGCAATCTATCCGCACACGCGAACCAGATTGTTATGCCATTAAGGGCCGAACACAGTTGAAATTTATCTTTTTTAAATCCAGTCGTCCGAGTGTTACATAGTCCGCATTGCTCCAAGCATTGTAGTCGGATATTTGTGTTATTTAGGATGATCCTGGTTTTTCGGCCCTTGTGGCCTATGAGAAAGCAAATTTGTTAGGACTACAGAAACAGCACGAGCAAATCGAAACCGATCTCACTGCAATGGAGCTGAACTTCCTTGATGGTACGTTTAATTACTTTTTTATTCTAAGTCAGAACTGAGCATTAGGAGGAGATCATGCAAGAGATTTTGAAATCGCAACTTCCTACATTTAAACATAAGACTGAAGGTTAGGAGATACCACGGAAGTATTTATTTTCTGTCATCACTACATACAATAAACTACAATACTGCGTGGAAATACGTAAATGTCGCAATAAGTTGTTGAGCCATACTGGGACAGCTTATGTCATTCTGAATGCTTTTTCGGCCGCAGTTCGACTAAGGGGTGAGGGAGGGGGGGATCCTATTCGTGCTTCACTATTTCCGTTAGTTAACAATGGAGAAAAACTGTGAACTCTCTGTCAACTAGCGAGGCAAGCTGTGGCATCATGTAATGGTCTTGTATGCTATTCCACGCTTTACAAAGGTTGACTGATACACTTTATGGCTCACAAGATTTCACAGGTCGGAAGTAACGAAAGTCCAAAATGCCCCCTCCCAGTCGCCGAACTGCGCCGCATTTTCTTCTCTCCCAGGTCTATAGAATATCATATCTCATACACGGTACAACACCGTTGTGCGGAACCCATCAGGGGGTCGCATTCGATCGCAAGGCATCGCATTTCGGTTCTGGGCAGAAACTTCTGCGATGGTTGCTTCCACCGGTTTTCAGGCCGCGCGATGTAACCTCATTCCTTCTGCATTGATAGCTTGTGAGGGAGATCTTATCGAATGAGGAAATTTGGGAGTTCCGACATCATTATTTCACCGATGCGGTGCTTGATCCTGATCCTATCACTCGGCAATAGCTATTCATAATAAAGATAAGTGCAGAAATCACTTGAAATGGTCAAAAGGATGGAGAAGAGATTGGCACATTTCACGGAGACATCTATGAAGCATCTTGAGGCATTGGATGGCTTGAACATCATTGGAGAGCTGACGACCGAAACCCAGGTAACCAAAAAAGATTCTTCTTTTCTTTACTGTGGGGTTAGGGGTTAAAGGGTATGTGGCTACTGGTAGCTGAATCCTGTCATGTTATTGTGGTCTCTGTTGTACTGCAAGTCCTCTACGATTCAGGTATTTGCCTGGAGCATAGTGTCATACAAATACCGCGGCAGGGCTTAGTGCCGTTGAGAAATCCTTAACCAGGGGCTTATATTTGGGTATCCAGAGAGAGGAGTCGTATTCAACTTGCTGAGACGGAGAGGGCGTGCAGGGCGCTGAACCTAGATACTTCACCGATTCTGGTAGGAATATAAAACCTTCGGCAAGTGGGGTATTATTTGGAAACCTTGGGGGTAAGAGGTAAGGAGGGGCGTGAAGTGGTATCTTAGATCCAAGGGGAGGGGTACAACATAGTTTCCTCGTTGGTATGGGATTCTACGAACCGCGCTCGTTCCGAAAAATGTTTCGCATAATGCTTTGAGAAACCAGTGTGACTCTAGAGAAGGACCACAACGACACCTCCACACATGAAACCTTTCTCTCCTTTCGAATAGTGCCATCCTGACCCGATTTGCCTCTCGCTATGCTCTGTAGAAGAACAGGTTGCCTATCGCCGTGAGGGCGTAAGTGCACCAAAAGTTTTCCGTATAGACTTAAAGACACGGTCCGCGATTATCTTGTGTAAAATCCCGTTCTTGCACAAGGTAGCTCAACTGGAATCTTAGAAGGTAAACCGCATTCACGGCTTAAGGGACTGGCGAGATTGCTAGAAGTGTGCCACGAAGGTCAAACCCCGCAAACAGAGGTCGGTCCCGCCCTTTTCATTTCGTTTCAGAATCTCTGTTCGGCGGTGAATCTCGTCTGTCTATTCTCTCGCGATTTTGTCATCTATACGTCTTTTGCTCGCTTGTGTGCCGTACGTAGGCTGGTGTCTCAAACCAACAGGGATCTTATCTTCGGTTTATTTTGATTTCCCTTCGCCCCTAACTGCTATTACATACTCTTGTTTATGATCTCCCTTTCCCGAAAATTGCCTGCGATGGCTGTGTCTTCTTGACGAATAACCTTCAAGCGGAAATATTCCGCAGAACGGTGAACATCCAATAGTGAGCACGGCGCTCGTAATTGTTTCATTTTGTAGGCCGTGCGAAATCGGGAGAAGAGGAAGAGTCTGATCGATGGAATCAACACGCTGCTAAATGGAAATGACAAGCATAGTCGAAGGCTAGAAGAATATAAAAAGAAGCTCCTCGGAGAGATTATTGAATGATTCGTTTGTTGTGCTTTAGTGGAGTTGTTTCAAGAGTTTTTTGAATGCTAATATATTTGAAAAGCACCTGCTTGCTTTCTTTCCGCGGTTTTTCCATATAATATATTTGAAGACCTGCTTGCTTTGCTTTCGCGGGTGATTTTCCCATATTAAGTTAGAGTTTCTAACAAAGTTAATTTTGTTTGTGGTTTTGATTGTGATATTCAGTGTTTCCTTTCTGGAGACTGAAACTGATCAGGTAAAAGGAAGCTCTACTGAGGACGAACGGAGACAGATTGCGATTTGAGGGAGGGGTGAGAGGGATACGAATATGGTGTGTAAGGAGAGAAAAGAGAATGGTCGGAAGCATCCAAAACAATACTTATTTGTTACAAGTTTAGCTCAGCAGAAACCATTAATTATTTTGCGGTAAGACCTCACCGGTAAAGCTACGTGACCCTGCTACGTTTTTTTAGTTTAGCGGTTTTAGTCAGGGATAGGGCGAAAGAAATTTTAATTGCAAATGTGAAGCGTGCGCGGTTTCGCACAGGAACGTGTATTTCCACATGCACTGCTGAGCAGTTGCGGCGAGGTCAGCCTATATGAAGAGTTACATGCGTTTATGGCGATAGCGGACTTACTCGGATACAGAATTATCCCTTTGAATTGAGAGCAGAGTAAGTTACGGAAGTTTTGGCTACGTCTGTGGTTTTCTCCCGCACTGCTAGAACTCACCACAGTGGATAGGCTATTCTGTCTCATTTGTCTTGTAAAGACAATGTTTTCGGTGGAAATTCTGGTTGGCTGTGAGAACACTAAACAATCTGGTTTCATCTGAAAATAAGCAAGACATCACATATAAAAACTTTTTCTATAACATTTATTGACTGAACGTCGCTTGATTACAGATGGACAACGGCAAGAGAAAACTGCGCCCCCGGCTGACGTCAGTAATCTGGATTGAAAATCTAATTTCTCAGCGACTATATTTAAGGCATCATCTGAACCAGTTGCAATTGATATCATATACGTTGCAAGTAATGGTGTGACTTATTGGATTTTAACTATGGATCAATGGACCAGCTCACGGAAAGAATAAATGAATCATAGGATTACATCAGAACCCATGGAAGTTGAAATGAAGGGTCATAATAGTTGAGAGAGGAGGGGGTACCTGGGACAAAAAAAAAGAGGGGGGGCGCCGGGCATGGCGTGCGCGAGCAGTTAGCTATAGATTAGCTAGTTGCCGACAAAGCATGGTGGGTCAAATCCCCCAACAGATCATGGCGGTTGCGTTGTTACTGCTAATGTGCGAAGGTGGATCTACAAAAGGATGAATGGCTAGGAACTACTGAATGCTAAGAAACATCCTGAACTACAACTTCTGGATGAGAAGTATGAGCATACAGCGATCCTCAACCTCGAATAATTTTTAAAACACGGCCGTGCAATAAGCACTATAGGTCGCAAGTTGTCCCGTTACCCATTTGTTTTGAAGCGAGCGCGTTATGCCGAGTCAACTAGTTAGGAATACAGGCGAGTGCGTGCGCTATGCTGCGCCTCGTATTTCCCCACCTGCACTCCAAGAGGAAAGGGTGTCGGAAGCAGATGTGCGGAAGTAGTCGAGAAAAAAACTTGTGAACCCCTCCCCCAAAGTGTTCAGGCCTACCAGGTCTGCCTCTACTGAATCACAGATCATCAAAACTACAGTACCTACTTCCACACATCTTCGCTCAGAACACAAAAGAAACCTAGGGATACAAGAAGAACCTCGTTATTATACAACAGCAGCTTAATCTTCCTTGGACTAGAAGATAATTCTAATTCAAGTCGACAGGAACAGGATGATCAGGTACGAGCGACGTAAAGAAGGACGTGACGAATGAGTAACAAGTGGCGAAGAAGATCTGAAGACTACTCGGAGGTGAGGGTGCAACATGGTCTGTTTGAGCCTGTAAAGAAAATGCAATTATACAAAAAACATATAGGACGCGCAGGTGCAGCACGGATCCGCTGCTCATCCGGATATGGGTAGGGCGTGGCTGCGTATTTCATTAGAACTTGGCCGCGGCAGATATCCTTGTGGATATTTCAGTTTTGTAGTCATGTCTTTTCTAGATAGGATAACTTTTGTTTCAAATGGAAATATCCTACGAAAAGCATCCTACACCATGTCCTGTGCCAAATGAAATACACAGCCAGGCCCTCTCCATCACATGATATGATGTACTTTTGCTTTCACAGATGACGGGTTGCTGACGTCACTTAACAACTCAAACACGTTAGGCTGCATTCATACGTTGCATCAGCGTTTTAAGCAACTAAAAAGTTCTAGCGTTTTGAAAGTTCGCCAGCGTTTTCGGCGACTGCCCGCGAGAAGTTCAAAACTACGCGCGAAACGTTCGAAACACTGACGC